AGGCCCCCCCCGTCACCAGCCACACATGGCCCCCCCAGACTGCCCACGCCGTCCCCCCGCATGGCTGGCAGCTGACGTCAGGCAGCAGATGCATCCTGTGCCCAGCAGGCTGGAGTGGGGGTGGCATCGGCGGGCGCCTGCAAATATCACGGCTGCTGACGGTGCTGGTTATTCTTAGCACCCTGCGGAGGCGCAGGGGGGTCTGCCTGGCAGCGTGGCTGGGAACCAGCGGGCTCCCCTGGAGCAGATGGCCCAGCTACATAAACTGGCTCCCTCCAAGGTGCCAACAGGGAAGGGATGGGGAAAGACGCATGGCCAGATTGCGCCCAGAGCCCTGCCTGGCACTGACCCAGCTGCAGCAGGCTTCTGCAAGGAGAGGGGGTGACTCTGGAGACACCCCGAGATCAGGACAGGGTGCAGTCTCCTCTCCCAGACCCCCCCGGGGAGGGTTGCCCCAAAGTGGGAAGTTGGGAAGATGGGCTGCTGCTGCAGGACCTGGACAGACCCTGCAGCTCACAGCTCCCGGACAGGCGGCACATGGCTTGGGTCTCCCTGCAAAGAGAGGAGTGAGCCGCTCAGCCATGACTGGCACGGAGCTGGCTGACCCCGGGTCCCTCCACAGCCCCATGCATTTCTCCCTGTGCTGTCCTTCCCAGCCCATCACCCCCTCCAGCCTGGGGGGGCTGCATGAGAAGCAGGGGCAGGGCTGGGATCCCTGCACTGAGCCGGGAGCAGAGCACCCCACACTTCAGCCAGGGGAAGGGAATCCCATTTAGAGCCATGAGAGCGACGTGGACTCTCTCTGCATGCAATGCACCGGCCTGAGCCATCCCCTGCTCTGCAAGTCTGCACCAGCCCTGAATGAGGCCTCACTCCCTCCAGCTTATCGGCTTGTGCCGGCCGTGACTTAGGGCCGGCAGTGCCTCTGCCTGTGTCCGGGGTGCAAGGCTGCCTTGCCCAGGGCGCGGAGCAGCTGGCTGCCCTTGAGGAAGGCGGGTGTGCAGAGCTGCAGGCAGAAATCAGCACTGTCCCAGTCCTGAGAACAGCAGGACCCAAAAAGGCCAGAGCTAAACATAGGAAACCTACTTTTCAGCTGTCGCCGCCAACAGCGGGGCTGGATGCCTGCTGCCGGCTGATAGCCTCATCCCATCACGTGGCTCCAGGACCTGGGGCTTTAGGGAGCCCGTCGTGGCTCGCAAGGCTTGCAAGCAAGAATGTGGCGGCCCATGACGTGCTGGTTGCAGATGAGGAGCGAGGAGCTGATGGCTGGGGAGTAGCAGGGCTGCCACAAGGCAGCCCTTCCCATGGCAAGTGTGCTGGCCTTGGGGCTGCCCCGAGCGGCAGCTCCCGGGGTTGCTGGAGGGGGCCGCGGGCCAGGAGCTACTGCCGAAGGGCAGAAGGAGCCTGCGGGAGCTGGCGACCTGCATCCCGGGCTCCTTCCACGAGGAGGGAGGGGATGCGACCCGCTGAAAAGAGCCGCAGCCCCACACCGCTGCAGCACAGGCCGCCTGGACGGCAGCCATGGGAAGGAGCTGCCGCCTCCGGCAAGCGCCGGGAAGAACCGTGCCCAGCCTGCCAGGACAGCGGCCGCTGGGGATGGGCAGGACCCCCGAGCCTTGGGCACAGCGGAGGGGCACAGCCGGAGGGGGGGGGGCTGGAGGGGGACCCAGGGGGGCCCGCCCTGGGCGCAAGCAGGGCGACGTGTCCTACCCCCTGTGCCCACGGGATGGCAGCAGCCTCCCGCGGCTCCTGCTGGGCACCCACCCCACAGTCCGCCCCACAGAGCCCGGTGTGGGGCACGGCTCTGCCCGGGGCCGCAGCCCAGCAGCACGGCGGGGGCACCAGCCCCCCCCTTCCCCAGCTTACGGGGCCGTTTTCCAGCCAGAGGGATGGAAGAAGAGAAAGGTCAGCGCCCTCCTGCTCCCGCGGGCCCTGGCAGCAGTGGGGTCACCCGGGGACCCCCTCGCCAGCCCCACTGCCAGGCTGTGCCGATGCTGCCATCGCACCCAGTGCGGGGCAAGGCTCGGCTTCCCTTCCCTCCCGTGGGGCTCAGCCCCTCAGCAACCACTGGAAGGGGTGAGGAAGCACCTCAAAAACAGTCCTCAGCATCCACCAGTGCCACAGAGAGAGGGGACACCCCTGTGGCAGCCTGTGGGTCGCCTCTCATTCAGGAATTCACTTGGCTCCAGCATCAGCCCAGGGCTGTCGGTCATTCCCACCCTGAGCCTGGACCCCCTGCTAGTGCCACCTCTGCTGGCGGGGCCAAATCCTGGCCTGTCCCCTGGATTGACACAAAATGAAAAGTGTTGCCCGGAGGTCTCCTTGGCCACTTTTACAGCTGTTTATCTGTGGCAGGCATTGTCTTGTGCCTGCCTTGGTTGCTAATGGACTGGAAAGTACTTCATCCTCATGTGATGCGAATGCATCTTCCTCCTTCTTGCCAAATAGGGAACAGAAATGTTTATTGAACACTTTCGCCTTTTTTTCAGTGGCATTAGCTGCCCTATTAACATCTCATGCGAGCACCACTCTGCTGCCAGGATCCTGGCTGTCCTGGTGCTTTTGGTGGTTTTGCCCTGCTGGATTCTGACCTGGTTTATCTCTTATCAATTCTGTGCACTTCAGACCCTCTGCTGTCCTCCTGATTGCTGCTTTCTGCAACTCCTTCTATCAATCCATTTGCAATTCCTCCATACAGAATTCCTCCTGCTGCCTTCACTTCCCCTTCTGCCCGCGGTGAGCTTTTAAAAGCCTGCCCGCTCCTTCCCTCGGGCAGCTCGGCTGCCTCTCAGATGCTTGGCCAACCCTTCTTCAGCAGCTCCCAGTTGTTTTGTCCAGATGTTTTCCTCTCCAAAGGGGTGAGGGATCTCCCAGCTGGCTCGGAGGGAGGGTTCACTGATGGACGGTGATGGCAGCCCAGCGCAGCTTCCACCCCGCATGCCATCTGCCCTCTCTCACCCTGCTTCTGCGTGTGCTCCTTAGCTGGGACCTCGGTGCCCTCCCGTTCCTCGTCCCGGGTGTCACAGCCCAGCCATCGCTGTATCTCTGCCGTGTTTGTCCTGTGTCCTGGCACCATCAGGGCAGCACGATGTGCCCCAGCTGCTCTTCGCCAGCCCACGGAGATCAGTGCGGCTCACTGGTGGGAGGGATGTTCCCAACGGGGTGCAGGAGTGCCAGGGAAGTCGCTTGTCCCCCGTCTGCAGAAATTACCTGTTCCCCTCACGTAACCCCAGAGCCCCCAGCACCCTGCACGCAAGTCAGAACTTCTCCCCGCGACCTTGGCCGCCCTGGCTCTACACGCTCATGTTCCACCTGTGCCTCCTTCTTGCTCCGGGTGAAGCAGCTCCCTGCCACAGCCGTGGTGCCGGGTCACTCCAGGCTTTTCTGCCATCCTGGGGGCTTTTCTTCCCCTTTTCCCCCTCTTCTGCCTCTGCTCCAGAGCCACACGGGCTTGTGGTGTGCTCCTGCCGCAGCCCCGGGGGCCGGTGCCGCGGGCGGGCGCGCTCCAGCCTCCCTGAGCCCCCCCTGCTTCCCCCCCAGGAGGCACACAGCGGGGCGGGGGGGTCCCCGCCGGGGGAGGGAAGAACCGCGGCCCCTTGCCGCCCCTTGCCACCCTCTCCCGGGCCACCTCGAGCCGCCAGGCTGGGAGGGGGCCGCGCACCCCCCGGTGGGCCGGGAGGGCTGGCGCAGGGCTGCCGGGGCCCGGGGGCGGGGGGCGGAGCAGAAAGCCCCTCGGGCACCCACGCGTGGGGTGTGCCGGGGGCAGGGCCGGCCGGGG